TTAGAGACGGAAAAGGAGAGTTATGTTTGCAATATCCTATGTTACATGGGATTCTTACGTTTGAGTACTGTACTCATGTTAGGCACATGTTAACACCGACATACATTCTTCTTGTTTTACTAAGCATTGATTACATCAATTTAGAGACTTGATCTTCTTTTTACGTCATTTTAGAAACTTGCTTTTCTTTTTATGTTTGATGAACACGAACTTTTGATTACATCATTTTAGAAAATATCTATCCTTTTTTTTCCTTTTTTTTTTTGAAGAATGGTTAGCTATCTTATAAATATGTAGAAATTGTACAACAAGAAACCCCTTAAGCTACCCACACGATTTTTGAAAATACCTATATCGATTCATGAAGGCCTTAAAGGACATGGATGGAAGCAATGAGAAGAGATATGGTGACTTATTGTCTCATTGAGGGTCTGGGCTTTAATTGAGCAGAATGGCGGAACAAGATATAGTGACCCCAAATAGTTGAGATAAGGCTCAAACAATGACGACGATGATGATGATCTATACTGATTTCATCTTGTTACTTAACATGAAATGGAATATTAATATAACATTGTTGGATTTAGTTGTCTCTTCATAATATAGTTGTGTCATCAAATCTCTTTTTGATAGCAAGAGGAATCCGACACCCATATAACACATGCATCCATGCAACATAGGTAATATCTTTTGAGAGAGAGGTGGTTTTTGGGTTTAGAGAGGGAAAGGGAGAGCTACGCGTCTAAATCAGCTTCTTTACATTATCGAGAGAGCGAGCTAGAAAGAGCAAGAGAGAGAGAGAAGGCTGAGAGAGATTTTTGGTCTGGGCTGCTTGGGCAACCAGATAGAGAGAGTTGTTTTGCTACTATTGCAGTATTCTCGGGCAGTAACTTAGACAGAAAGCATTCTAAGTTTTGGTATTGATCGCGTTGCAGAGGCCTTAGAGAAAGTGCTTTTGGTCTGATCTGCCTCCAGGAAAGTTACTGAATTTTGGGGTTTCCCATCTGCTAAGGATAAAAAATGTGAGTGGTAGAATGAGCACGTGATAATACCGAACAACATTTTCAGTCTCACACGTTGTAGTAGGTATTTCCTCACTAAAAGTAGCAGACATCTACATTAGAGCATGTCATAATAACCATATCAGACCCAAGCACAGATAGTGATAGATTAGGCTTGTTGCAGCTTGCCACATTAAACTCAAGCATAAACTAATGAAGCTAGTGACAGTTTCCCATATTAAACTCAAGGACAAATTAATGAATCCAAAGACAATTTAACATCCAGTAATTTTTACAATTTCTTAAAATCAAATTGATATTTTTATTATTAAGATTGTTGGTTGATAATGTCTAAGTATATAAAAATCATGTTTCACATCAAACCAGTGTTCTAAAACCCAGTGATTTCCAATCCAGATCGCCGATCAGGATGGGGATTAGCCAAGAACCGATTCCAAGATGGTATGAGTCCCAATCCGGTTCCCCCCTAAACCACCCTTATCTATTTCTTTTTTTTTAAAGCTTATCTAATAAAGCAGAATGGCAGAACATGATTTGTATAGCCAACCCTAAATAGTTGGGATAAGGCTCGGATGATGATGACGATAATCTAATATTTTCTTAAGTCCCCTCTAAATCCCCATCCCATCCCCTATTTTAATTTTAATTTTAATTTTATTTCATTTATTTTTTATTATTTTTATGAATCCCCAACTCAGACCAATCCAGACCCAATCCGGATTACCAATCCAACAAATCTATGGGTAAATGATAAGCCTTTTGAAACATTGCATTTAATAATTTTTGACATAATCTGTAGAGTCCTAAGTTTCAGCAAAAATCATAAGGAATATATCCAAATCCAAATTGTAGTTTATTTAGTTCATGTCAATGATTCAAAAACCACTTACTTGGGCACATGATTGCCCAATCACTCGGTACAGGCTGGGCTTGTTACGAAGGGTCCAACTTGCTGGAATTGACATGGACCTAGATGATTTTTGAAGGTCTCTGCCAAGACTCGCAAAGTCAAGGCAGAGACTTGCAAAGAAAAAGATACCCGCAAGTGATTGTGTCACGCCCCAAGAATTTACAATACTGATATTCCCGAGATGTGACAGTCAAAACATATATACATCTCTTGATAGGAATAATTTACAGTGGCAAATTCTTACAAAGTAACAAAAGAAAGTTTAAGCACAACTACAGTATCTTCCAGAGTTGATCCTGACGTGCACTCAAAATGAAACCGTAGTTATCTTGACAAAATGTTCACCATAATTTGATGAGTTTAGCTACTCGTTAAGTGATCATCATAATCCTAAAAATAATCATGGTTGAAAGATATCAATATTTTCAAAAAGAAGATCTATTAACAGAAATGTATCAACAGTTTCACTTTCAAAAATGCATAATTAAGTATAATTCGAATAATTGAAATGCGTATAACATTTTAAAGTCAATGCATAATTCAAAAGATTTCACAAAATACCCTACTGACGTCCCAAGTAGGTCACCTATATACCCCATCAACGTCCTGATGGGTCCACTTAATCCTTATCGGCGTCTCAGATAGGTCCACTTAATCCCTGCAAGTCCACTTATATCTCACCAACGTACCAGATGAGTCCACTTAATCCCTGCCGGCGTACCGGATAGGTCCACTTATACCTCACCGGCAAACCGGATGTGTCCACTTATATACTTAAAGTATTTCTAAATCTCTGTAAACATTCGAAAGCAGCAATATCATGTACTCAACATATCACTGAAATTATTAATATGAATTTCACTGAAACCATTAATAACAGTCACTTTCAATAACATTTCAAAAATAACCAGTCAAATATTTTGGGCTCAAATTTAGAAAGGTAGCAGTTCGTAAAGACATTCTAGCATAATTGCCAATCTAATATATATAGAAAAAATCTTATAGAAATTCAAGAATACAGAAGTATCACAATTTATGGGATGTCAATTCGCAAATAAACATTTCACAGACAATGCTATAATCAACTGCAAAAATATCAGTTTTCAAATAATAAGGCAGTCATTTGCACATGAATTTTACAATGTCTAAATATTCAAAAACAATAGAAAGAAATCTCACAATTTTACTAAAAGCAGAAATATCACATTTATTTCTAATAATTTTACAGTATCTAAAATTCTTTAACAATAGACAAGAAAAATAAATAAATTTATTTCTAAGAATTTACAGCATTTAAAATTTATAACATAGATAAAATATCACACTTTTATTAAAAGAATATTTTTCAAAATAATGAGGTCGCTTGCGCATAAAATTTATCACGCCTAAAATTCATGATAATAAGCCGAAATAACTATTTCATTTTATTTTTAAAAAGAACAGATTATTTTACAAGATAATGAAGTCACTTACCTAAAATATTTGAGAGGAAACTTCAGATAAAAATTAGGCTAGAGAGAGGAGCTCACTGTGTTTTGACTAGAGAGAGAAAAATCTCAAAAATTTTCTAGGGTGGGAATCCTCGCCTCTCCTATTTAAATTCTTAAGACACCTTATTATTTTATCTTATTAAATTACACCTCATACATGAGGTGTAACAATTATATTAGACCTGAACGTTTAAAGCCCACGTCCACTAAAGGACGTGGCAAAGCAGCAAAAACTTAAACCAAAAGCTTTTGAAAGTAGTGCTCATATGGACCATCACTTATTCAAAGTTTCTGTTCTTCTTTATTTTTATTTATTTATTTATTTATTTATTTTTATTTTTATTTTTTATTTTTTTTTGGAAAGTTTAGGATTGAATGGGTCTCTTGGGGCACAAAGGAATCCCTTGGCCTTATTTTCTTCCCTCTTCATCTAGAATAAGTTTTGGCAGCAAAAAACCCTGAAATACCAATGTGTGAGACATATTTTAGGCAAACTCAAGGAATCCAAAAGTTTTGATCTCACAGATTCGAAATCCGGATTTTTATGTCTTAAGAGCAGTGTTTCAAAAAGCGCTACGTGCCACCTAGGCGGTCGGGGGGCTCCAGGCCGCCCAATGCCTAGGAGGGCACCCAAAACCTAAGCGGCCCAGTAGAAAGTTTTTTTTTTTTGGATTTTCTCTCTCTAAAATAGCCTCTAATGGGTTTTAGGTTTCAAATAAACCCAAAACCCACAATTTTGCCCCTTTAGTATTAAAAAATGACCCAAAAATACCCTCAAGCCCTTGGGTGGGGTGCAAGCCCTGGGCGGCCGCCTAGGCGGGTTCAGGTGGGAGCCCAGGTATATCCGCTTAAGCGCCCAGGCGCTAAGCGGTCCGCTTTTTGAAACAATGCTTAAGAGGCTTGAAGAACTCATCAAGGAGCATTTTTGAGGTTTCGACTCAAAACTCTCTTCCGATCTCTCTGGGTTGGCAGCTGAACAATTTTCAAAATGTGGGGTAAGTTATTTTCGGTTAATTTGTTCAATTTCTAATGCTTTAAATGAGTTTTTTTCTAGATAGACCTAGTGATAGTTACATAGGTCGAGCATTTTTCTTCAAAATTATAATCACACACACCCAAAGATATGTGTATGTCTGTGATTATATATGTGATTGTGTTTGCTTTTACAATAAATTATATTTTTTTTAGTTCTTATGAAATTTTCCTATTTTTCTATTTTCCCATTTTTTTTATTTATTTGTTTCATTTGGGGTTTTCTGGGAGTTTTTTTTTTTTAACTAGCCCAGACTAACCAAACCAAACCGAGACTCGACGAACCAGCTCAGACTAGGCACTACTTGGTTCCATGTTTTAAAAAGACATGTCACATATGTGTAGAACATTTGTAAAGACAACTCTTAAAAAGGTTATGCAACAGGGTTTATCAAATACAAATCCTTTTAAGTAGATATTTAACTTTGTAACAAACATCCATAAACTTAGGCAGATGATTTTGAAAGTGATGGAAAGTAGATTTTAAAGAAAGTATCGAGATTTTCATATGCATCTAGATTGTAGGACCAAGCAAGAAAAGACTACCTGTCTCCGTCGAATTGTCTGCCGAGCTGACTCCCGGTTAGCTTGAACCCTACGGAGTCTTCTTGCCTCTTTCTCATCCTACAAAGAAAAGGTCCAGTGAGCAAAATACTCATTCAAACACTTCATACAGCCCCAATTGTAGTTTATAAAAATAAAGTTAGCTACCTCACTCAACGGTTGCTTCAACTTGCCAGCATACCCTGAAACCGGACCAGTAGAGCCCTTAGTCCGGGATTTTAGTATTTCAATACCACACTCTGTTTTCACAGTGTCCCTTAGTGCAGTTTCACACAAATTTTCAATGTGGTATTTTTCGTCTTTATTCGATGTAAGGTCCTGTGATAAATAAAAAGCATAAGTCATCTTAAATGGGAATTCAAATCACACAAGAAGCAAAGAATTCGACATGTCAATTAAGAGCTTAAATATTGAAATACATCTACTCCTCCGATGTCGAGAGGAACCATGGACAAGTATTTTTCAAAGCACCTGCAAATAATGAAGTGGCCTTTTTCGCATGGATTGAGCCTCACTCAATTGAGGCAAAGATGGATTCAAGAAAAATAGCATAATTTCCCTAATGTACCTACTAACTGATTATTAATCATCCCAGAACAAGTTACGTTCAATTTCATTCAGGGATTGGTTCTTTGGACTGCCACCGGCTATCTATATTTGATTAGACTAATTGTCTTTGTTGTCATTGTCAAACATTGTATTTTGTCTTTCAAATGTCATGACAACACCACCCCCCCCCCGCCCCGCCCCGCCCCGCCCCACCCCACACCAGGAAAAAAAAAAAGTAGAATGGTAATTATTTATGTAATTATGTAACATACATAATTTAGTCCTACAATATCAGTACAATATAAAACAAATTTTGGAACCCCCCTGAAGCTCCATCATGCATCAGTATGGCAGACTTTTCAACTAGAATTGATTGTATTTGAAAATTCATCGGCATTCTAGGTTGCATGCAGCCCATAAGTCGCCTCAGCAAGCATGTTTATAAAGATTCCATTACCAATTTTGACTGTATAACACAGAAAGTCAAGAGGTTTCCCTGTAATTAAGTATGACCTTGGTCAAAGAAATCAACCACTGATAGTTCATGAAATATGACAAAGAACAAGAAGATCCAATGCGACTTGCTTAGAAACAAAATGATCATCATCCTCATACGCTTCATTCATGATTACAAGATGAGTTACGAAGCAATCAAAATGTCACTCAGGTCAGCAAACTGACGAGGCATCTGAGAGAAAAGATGCGAGTCCACATCTCAAAGAGATCAGGTCAAACAATTTCACTAGAAGTTACGGAAATTGCTCATATTCAGTTTAAGCAGTAAACTTGAAAACGGTTGTTTATACACAGACAAAATGAGAGAAAAACTGAGAAATACCAGGTCATAGTCACCCACATATGTGATCCAGTCCAAATGTAAGCACCCAGATCAAGGGACACGTCGAAAGCCATAAGTAAGACAAAACATGGTGCAGATCACATATATGATTAACCGATGAATTGTTCCCATGTGAGGTGGTTGAAGGTCAGCCATGAACTGTCAACCATATGAATGACAGATGTATATAAGGAAAGGTGATTGTCAACCTCACATAAAAGGAAACAAACAGCTCATCAGATCACTTTGCAAAATGTCTACAGTGCATTTTCCTATAGACCATAAACCATTCATCTCTAAGGCATCCCATGTTACTGCACCTTTTCTAAGGATCATTCCGTTCCATAATGGAAATTGGCCATGTGAAGAATAACAAACATGAAGAGAAACCAAATTTGGCAAATGTTCGGACATCTTTGGGTGAAAACCTTGAGTGGGCTTCCCTAGAGCGCCATTCATTGAAAAAGCATACCCAACACAGCTAAAAAACATTTAGTCCAAATGTCTACCACTTCATGGTCATTTTCATTACTCCAAGCAGATATCATTGACCACTTTAATGGTTTGATATGTCTTTCCATATGCCAAAATTGAAAGGATGGGCATTTATATCCCTACCAAAGGGCATGTTTGGATGTTACTTATTATTATTGGTAATTCACTGTTTCAATAAAATTAATCCTGATAACTTAATTATCTGTTGTTTGGCATTGTCCATCACAAAGTTATCTAAGATAAACTTCTAGGCAGTTTTACACATAAGTTGATCTTTTTGAAAAGTTGTTTTTACTTTATAAAGTAATTTACCGGAGATCAAATGTTTTTGTTAGAGATAGTTAAAAATAGCTGAAAATCACCAAAAAAGTTAAAATATTAACATTATACATAATACAAGATACATACCAAACAGCTATCAAAATAATATTATCTAGAGCATAATATTTTCAACTAAGACAATCCATTCCAGATAAAATCAATTTTCTTCCTAACAGGCCCTAAAATTGCAAATCCAACAAGTCATACTTTTTCAGTAAATAGGATCAGGCAATCCGCAGCCTCAAACAAGCTCCATCTAGCCGGTCTTATCGATTCAGTATCTTTTTTTAATGTGTTAAACTTTGTATTAAACAAAGTAAAAGATACAGAGATTGTAAGTATAAAAGACAACCCACAGGCAGGTACCCCATGCAAAAGGAATAGTCAAGTGACACTATACAGAAAGAAAGCTAAACATGGACAAGTATCCACAGTAGGAAGACGTCTGCTCAAAAAGGTGCTACGTCGCTTCCCTGCGTTGAGGTCAAGTTTATAATCAAATGGGGTGCCCCTTCCTTAGCCAAGGAGTCAGCCTTGGAATTGGGTTCTCTCCAAATGTGGCGCCACAGTAAAGGAGTCACGATACTAAGTTGTCGAATCTTGTTGAAGACATCATCCAGTCTCCACAGCCACAAAGAACTGCCAGAGGCCCAGGCCAACACATTTTAGGAGTTGCCTTCAACTATTAGAGATTGGCCCGAAGATGGATCAAAATTCCTAAGGCTTTCCCGAAGTGCTTGGGCTTCTGCGACTATGGAATCCGAAAGGCCAATAGGAAGGGAGAAGGAACACAGGATGGCTCCTTCAGAGTCACAAAATAAAGCCCCAATGCCTGCTGACCCTGGGTTACCCAAAGAGCAGCCATCGAAGTTGAACTTGATCTGGCCAGGTTCTGGGGGTTTCCACAAAGAAGCACGAGGAACTCTGAATGATGAAAGATTCAGCAACGTTGGCCAGTTGAGTTGGAAGTCTGAGAGAGATAGGTGGCTAAAAAGTCTGTTGTGAGTTGCCCAAAATATAACCAGGGAGTTGGTGGGTGCGACCATTGACTGCAGAAGATGATTCTGTTGTTCCTTTCCTGCCAGATGACCGAGAGGGGTGCTGCCACAGATGCTCTCCATAACGTGATGCCCTCCTTAGTCCAGGGATGGGAGAAATGGGCTCGAAATAGATGGGGGACAGATGGGGGGTCACCCATTGCCAACGGGATCGTTGAAGGAGATCAGCCCAGAAGCAGGAAGCTACTTTGCAATGGATGAAGAGGTGGGCATTGGTGTCTTCTTCCTCCCATCACATTCTACATTGGTCAGGGATCTGCGTCCCTCTCCTCTGAAGGAGATCAACTGAGAGGGCTCTTTCAGGAATAAGGATCCAACTTAGGAATTGGATTTTTGGAGGAATAAAAGGGGACCACGCTCTAACTGGTATGGACTGAACACCATTTGGGTTTTGAGATTGGGAAAGGGAGTTATAAAATGATGCGACCGACAAAACTCCCGAAGGAGTGGGGGTCCAAATAAGTTTATCTAGACCACTGTGAGGGAGGAAAAGAGAACGTAAGGTAGAAGAGAGTCTTAGGAATTGTTGCAACTCGTGGTCTGCTAAATCCCTTCTAAAGATGGGGTTCCAGACCCTACTAAGGCCCGAAAGTTCCAACTGGGATTCAACCGAAGCCTGTGGTTGCCTGGCAAGTCAGAACAAATTGGGATATTGAACTTTGAGGGGCTCGAGCCCCACCCAAGGATCTAACGAGAAGAGGGTTCTGTTACGCCTGCGAGGGCGCATTCTGATTTTTGCTTTGAATTGAGTGTATGGGCAAAGGATTGATTTTAATGCCCCTGAAGAGTTGCTGTGGGCACTGCGCTCAGGGACCCAGGATGGGCCCGAAGCACGGTATTTAGCATTGATGACGTCCTGCCAAAGATGGTTGCTTTGAGTGGCCAGTCTCCACCACCATTTTCCAAGAAGTGCAAGGTTGTTAGGCTTAAGTCTGCGTATCCCAAGTCCACCCTAAGACTTGGGGGAGCAAACCTTCGACCAGGAAATGAGGTGTATTTTCTTATTCCCACTTCCCAACCAAAGGAAATTTCTCATGAGTCGTTCTAGTTGACGCACCACGGAGGCCGGCATATGAAATAGAGACATTTGGTAGATCGGAATATTTGAGAGGGCGGCCTTAATAAGGGTTGTGCACCCTGCAGAGGAATGGAATCTGCCCTTCCAACTCGAGAATCTACGATCAAACTTATCTATTATATGACTCCAAAGGTTGATCTTGGGCTCAGCTTGTATTTAAAATCAATAAATAAAACAAAAAACTAAAAGTTATGCTCTTTTTTGGTAATGTCTGCAACTAATATTTTGTTATCCCAAAGTTTTGGTCTTGTTACAAGGAATACAAGGAACAGAGATTTAAGAACAACTGATCACTTGTTTAATTGCTCGTCAGTCCAGTTGTGGTCTTCAAATAAAAACTTAACCATGTTAAGATTGGAATACTCATCACGTCTACCCACATGACTATTCCAATAATGTGACACACCTTTTCATCCTGCTTCATTTGCATGCAATAGTTCTCATATGTTGCCTCCAACTATGCCCCAAACCTCTCCTTCATTTATTGGCATTTGAAGTACTTCTTACACATTTTGACAGAGGTTAGAATTCTGTTATGAAAAACAGTCCACAAAAAGGAAGTCTTAGCAGAAGAATGTTTTCAGGGTTCGTATTTAAGTGTAACCCAACATTCTAATCTTATACTTTTTTGAGGAAACCCATCATTCTCATCATATTGCTGCCCCATAGAAGTAAGCTCCAAGCTGTAGGAGAGGTATTATTCAATTTTCAGCAATATAAGTAGCCACCAACACAAGGATTTATGAAGAAAAAAATAAAAGCAAAGTTCTAGCCAAGTGCACTGAAATACTGAATAGGTCAGTGAAATAAAGATTATTTAGTTTCAATTTTGATGGGTAAATGGGGGGTTTTGTGCCATGCATAAAAATTTCAAGTAGAGATAACAAAAAGAAATCAAGCTCGAAACACAATTACCAAGAATTAGTTTTGACATTGTTACACTAAATCACCAGGAAGAAAATAAGAAACTAAACTCAAACAGCGTCATTGCCTTTAGAGAGAAGTAGAATTAAAAAACGTCACGAAGACATCACAACACATATGCTAAAACAGAGTGTGAATAAGGAGCAATTTCTTTTATGCAATTAACATTAGACGCCACAAAGATCTTTTTTTCATTTTTCTTTTTTCTTCTTCTTTTTTTTTTTTTTTTTTTTTGCTTAGTGAGAAGAAACAAAATGCCCATTTTTGTTGTGTAAATATCAGAACCAACAAGAAAATATATGACAAATACCAAAATAAAAGTAGAACAAAATACAGTTAACAGGAAGGATTCCAAATCCATAAACAAGACCTAAGTTGAAAAGAAAGAGAATATAGAAACAAAAAGAAAAGATCAAGCCCTATCTCAAGCTTTCCACACATAAATAGAATAGAAGAAGAGCAAGAGAAAAATAAAGAAATAAAAAAGAAAGAAAAAACAAAAAATGCAACGTACTTGACCAATTTTAACCCATTTTCTAACAATCTTCAAATCAGGGAGAGTTCCCCCCCAAACCTTGACTGGAACCTCGCTCTTTTGCCTCATCGTTGACCTTCTCCCCTTGTTTCCCCATTTCCCAGTAAAATCTCCAGCTTTCCCTCTCTTCTGGTTCTTGCTCGAAAGTAAAGCGAGCTCTGCAAACTCAGCAAGAGCAAGGGCAGCATCGAGCTCGATCTTCACCATTGGATCTACACCGCATTTTTGGCCAGAACAGTCGCCGGAAAAATTACCAGAACGCGGAAAAGAAGAAGAAGAAGAAGAGGAAGAAGCTAAGCACTCGGGTTCAGATTTCCGGAGACTTTCAGGGTCATTCTCAGAGAGAGAAGCCCCCATTCCAAAATCAAAAACAGGGATAAGGTAGTACGGGAAAGGGGAAACGTTAGCGAGAGAAACCTCTGATTAGAGAGAGAAACGGAATAAGTAACCACAAAAACCCTCTCTCCCACTGGTCTAGTGAGAGAAACGGCAGAGAGAGATAGTGAGGAGAAGCCGATGGTTTAGAGAGAGAAACGGGATAAACAGCAAATTGGCAAACAGTATCACCTCTTTCTCTCTCTAACTCTTAGTGAGAGAAAATGGGAGAGCGAGTGAAGCTGCTCCGTTAGAGAGAAAAACAGGATAACCAGCAATCATCACTCTCCCTCTCTCTCTCTTTTAGTGAGAGAAACAGGCGCACAAGAGAGAGAAACAGGACAGTGCAAGCAACGTGAGCTCCTCACTCTATCTCTCTAAAGGCCAAGAGAATGAAACGTAACCCTGGAGTACGTTGCCTCCTTGACCGACACGTGTTATTCCACGTCATCTTTGTCCACGTGGATCGCAGTGCAGTCGTCCACGTCATCCACCTGTCTACGTGGCCACCTTCCATTAGGCTTTTCTTTTCCACGTCGGCTGGACCGACACCTGGCGATTGCTAAGGCGTGGCAGGCCGACATGGGAGAGGCCATATTTTCCATCGACCGTACGTACGTGGGGCAATTAGAATGTGACACGTGGCAACCTTGTAGCTTGCGACCCGACAACGTGAAACTAAATAATAATATTACACGAGTTGCCTGTATGTTTTCGTGTCATCTATTCACCGTTCCTTTTCATCAGAGGACGGTGGTGATGAAACCCCGAGGGTAGAAGGGGATTATTTTGGAGTGCGGACTACTTATTTCTCGTACTGATTCGTCTACACGACGTGTGTGTGCCCTTCAAAGATGGCGGTGTCGTCTTCTTTACGTGGACTTAGGAGTCACAATGAAAAGAGTTAATGCCCTATTTTTAACCCCTAAAGGATATTTAAATTTCTCTTTTAGCCTCCATCTCAGCCAATCTTTTTGAGGTTTTTCTGCCAAAACAAAATTGGTTAACCAAGGAGGGGTACCAGCTGATCGGGTCGGGTCGGGTCGACCTTGACCTGGAAAACTATTATAGGATTCGAACCAATCCGGACCCAAACCCAATTAGACCCGACTTAAAAATTAAAATATCTATGTATTTAAATACATTTTAATATATTTTCATAAATTGACAAATGTGGGACCTAGACCCAGACCTGACCAAACCCGATAGAACCAGGACCCAGGCGTGAATAGTGTTCAGGTCTAATATTTGGTCCTAAACCCAATCCATAGGGTCCAATTTTTTGATCCATACCCAAACTTGGTTCGGCTCTAGCCGTCGGGTCTGGGTCCATTGCCACCCCTAAATGAAGTTAGCCTCAAAGGAAAATTATATAGATTGAAAAAAAGGGACCAAATTGTTAGATGATTGTATATTGGAAAAGTATACAAATAGATTATTTAATTTTAATATTCGTCATATTTCAAATCAAGTAGTTGTGAGTGTGTCATTGACTAAACTCAAAATTCAAAAAAAAGTTCTCGAACTTTGTATCCAAGCCATCCAATTTAATATCTAATAGCATACAACAATTGCAACCTCCTTATAACAAATATAAATTGTTTCATTGCATAAAATCCTTTATACATTATGAGACTATTTATTTTTTATATAAGGAGATTACACTCACTTTTAGCCATTAGAAATAAAATCTAATGGATCAAAATGTGTCATAACACTCCATAAATTTTATTTTAGACTTTTTGCCTAAACAGTGACCCGTCATCAACAACTCGATTTTAAATCTAATGAACGATTATAATTGTTACATCTTTGTATCAAAAAAAAATGTCTAATTGTATATTTTTTAGTTTCAATTAGGCCTAGCATAACACATCCTAAAGGAAAGGGTGAGCTTGATCAAGAGCCCTTCTGCCCGGTCCAAGCCCGTGCAGCACTATTGCCATTCTCAAGTTAACATTGTATATTGAGGATTCAAAAACTACTTTAAATTATAGTTATTGAGAGCTGGAGCGAGAATAGCTCTGAGGTCGGGAACTGAAGCCTCGGATCGATGGCCACCTAAAGATTCGGCTCTCGGGGATCGAGCTCTGATGAGGGTAAAAGTAACAAAACGAGATCCCATATGAAGGCGGAGAATATTTCCAATACAATGAGATTTAGATCCTTACTTAATGGGGACGTGGTCTATATACAATGGAATCGTGTTCCCATATGCAATAGGATCATGCTTCCATCCGGAATAGGAACTAGATCTCATTTGAAGTTGATTGCATTCCTATTTGAAAGTGATCGAACTTCATTCAATGATGGATTGCGTTCCTTGCATGATTGGTCGACGCACCCATCACGTAACTCCACTTGTATCAAGAGCCCAACCCCATTACACATGGATTTGTGCTCCTACTAAACACTGCTACTTGTTACCATATAAACGGGATATCGTTCTGGTTTATTCTATAACTCATTGTCCTATGTAGCAATGGTCCATAGGGCTAGATCCATGCACGGCCAACCCTAAATGTCCATGGATTAATAAATTCCTTTAATCTTGTATGAAATAAATTCCTTTAATGCCTTATACTATAGTTTTGAAATGGTTATTGCTAGTTTTATTCAAAATCTTGCACATGATACACATATGGGCGTCACGTTGGCCGTTTGGGTACTTAGAAATATATTGTCAATGAAATGAATTACTAGCGTAATACATTATTAATGTAATATATTAACTCAGAATGAAATGTTGTTGTTTGGGTAGCATCTGGATGCAACCTAGGAATATATTGCTATTGTTTAGCTATGTCTAGAAGAAATTTGAGGAATGTATTACCGTCGTTTTGGATTGGAAATACTGCACGAAAGATTTGCTTAAAATATAATTATTTTGTTATATAATTTAAATTTATTCAAGAAGTTTCTTTTAGAAAGTTATAAATTGGTAAAATAGTTTTATTCAAAATAAAGGATGGAATTTTGTGAACATAGGGACGCGCTCCTAAAATTCGAGGATCGATAATTTTATTTATTCGAGAATGGGATCTACAATCTTCAAAAACGTGCACCGTGCGATGGGGGGATCAAGATCCTTTATTTATAGGATCGAGTACCCTATAAATGGGAGCAAGATCCCAAAATACATAAATCAGGTTCCAGTCGAGATCCCAATCATGAAACGTCGGAGGTGGATTCCGGAGCTGAAGCGCCAGCATGTTGGGGCGCTGCTGATAACTATGCTTTAAATCCCTATAAATCCATATATGTCAAAAAGTAGATTTCGAGCTTTTAACCAAAAATCAACTGCAATGGATGATTCAATTCATCTTATAAGGCCGTTTTAAATCTTTGCTAATTCAAAATGTTAGAGAAATAGATTTGTTACCTTTTGGTACAAGAAGGTCATGATCATTTTTGTTTGTCAAATTTTAAACTGGGTGATTGTAAAAGTGTCATTGACTAGATTTAAAGTTAAAAAAAAAAAAACTCAAACTTCATGATGCACCATAGGCCATCCTATTTGACAACTAATGACCTTAAGTAACTATGGCCTTTGTGTAACAAAGATAAATGATTTCTTTATGTAATTTTTTTGGGTAATTCAATGGGGATGACAAGCCTCTACCTGTTTTTTAAATCATTAATAGTTTTTTAATGCGATATGTGATAATAGAAACCTAGACCTTAGCCCGAGCACAAGTGATGCTACCACCACAACTACAACCCCACTCTTTCTTTATATACTTTTCTCATACAAAAAAGCGTTATCCAATTGGTTTCTCTCTAACTCTTCTCTCCTTACCCGATTTGCTTTCCCAATCTAACTTTTGGCATGGTATCAAAGCCACTTGCTTGAAAACCCTAGATTTGCTTCATCTTCTTCTAAGGTTTTCAAACCCTAAGTCTATTTCATCACTTTATTGATTTCAAATTGTAGATATGTAGCATCTCCTTGATTTTAAAATCCAATTTTAGATTTTTTTCCTTTATTATTGCTCTTCTGGATGAGAGATTCCCACACCTAGTCCAATTCGACTTACATTTTCAAACCACTCAACAAGGAAATTTGTTATGAATTATGAATTGATTGCAAAGAATTATTAATGAAATTATTTATAAAATTTAATGAAGGTAAGTTCAATGTTCCATTCTCGCATTGCTACTAGCCAAGCTTAAGCTACATTTCATGGAACGAGCTATGAGCGTTGCTACTAGACAAGGTTAAACTATGAGAATATA